GGTTTTGGTCACCAGGTCTTTGGTGGTGGTGAAAAATTCTGAGGTGAGACAACAGTGTCTTATCGTGCAGGGTCTGGGTTAATGTTTCTATGGCTGCCCACTTACAGACTGACAGATGGCCAGGGGGATTTAAAAAAATCTTTAATTATTGATATTTGTAGTGAAACTGTCAATGTGGTCTGAAATGGTCTAACTACACTGTGATCAATGAAGCTGGTACATTCCGCCTTTCCTGAGGAACTACTGTGGGCATCATGGATTGTGTGCTGTTGGCCTGGGGTCACAACCCGTGTGTGAGGTGCACAAGGACTCCCCAGTAACTGAGATCAGCAGCACTCTGGTGTGGTGCAGAATGGCATTTCTCCTCCTGGCTTATGAAGCTGCTGATCCACTTCTGGTCAGCTCTGCACCAAGCTGAGATGTGCCAACGTGCTCTCAGTTGCCAAAATGAGTTTCTGGAGTGAGTGATCCTGGAAAAAGGAGTCTGCAAGACAAAAGGAAGCTGACTTTATTCAGTGTTTTATGATTCTGTTTATTTTTATATCCTGTGTATAAAAGCTAAGGGGGGAAAAAGCTAAGATAAAAAGGATAAGAAAGAGCTCTAAATTGTTAAATAAAATCCTGTCTTCCTTTTCTTTGCTTCTGGGCTGGTCAGTAAGGGTAGAGAAATAATCATCTCTGTTTGTGACTGTGTGTTTCAACAGAGTGAGGAGGCTGAGATCTGTAAAAAAACGGTGAGAGACTGTATAATTTAAATATCAGTTTGAAATGTCTGTCTCCTAATTATGATGAGTTTGATTTTTTTCTTTCTTTTTTTTTCTCCAGACCTTTACAGCTTGCCTTTTAAGGCATTCACAATCTTTGGATGTGGGGTGAAATGATTAATAGCCTGTATTGATTTTTTTAAAATAAGGAGATACAGTAGCGTGAAGCAGGGGACAGCAAACTTAAATTTTCCATTATGTTTTCACTCCTGGAGAGAGTGCTTGGAAATGACTACTGCTATTGGAATGTCAGTGAGATTCTGAACATTAACAGTCCGTTCTTGTGTTTCTTTTAAGGCTGATAAATGCTTTCATTTACATTTTTTTGTCCTGCTATATTCTCTATTCTCTTAGGAAGTGATCACATTAAATGGGACTTTAAAACAAAGTGTCAGAAGAAATAGATTATTTGTCTGTCTGTCTGTACATGATTACCAAATGAACTGTACATTAAAATGGTGGAGCAATGGGGCATGCAAATAAAAAAAATCATGTTTAAGCGATCTGTGAGATTTAGAAAGCCAATTACTATTCTGCCAATGGAGAATTTTTCACTAAACATGTCCTAGTAAGTTTAAATGCCTATTAATTAATGTTTTAACTGTTTCTTAATGGCAGTGAAGTCTAGTGACTGTATGACTTCCACATGAAAATTAGTCTGACGTTGGCTCTGTGGAACGGGGAGATACATCACTGTTAATATGGTAGCCCATTTATTACCCTGCTGTCTTAATTCAACTGCATTCAGGGGCAGTGAATTGAGAAGATCATAATCAGTTTGGGTAGGAATATAAATTAGAGGAATGTCACGGCGGTGGCTGTGCCCCAGTCTGAAGGCTGAGGGAGCTGTGTGACAGTGCTGACCCTACTGCTCCCACCCACAACCTGCTGGGAGCAGACCCTGGCCCTGGGCTACGGAGATGCCGTTGTTGGTGAGGGCTACATAAGGCACCTGGAACACCTTCCACTGAAATGTCTCTTACAGTTCTATTTGGAGCAAAACTGTGGTAGATTTTTCTCCATCCAACCCGTCTTTGTTGCAGTCAAGGTTTCCAGCGAACCACTAAGTGCACTTCAGATCTTACCACAGACCTAAATTCCTGTCTTTGTCCCAGTCCAACCTGTCCACACCTTTCCAAACAAAATCTCTGTTGTTGATAAAAGGGAGCTTTGTCTCAGAGAGGCTGGAGTAGCACCAACAGGAATGGGGGCACAGAGCTGCAACATTCTCATCTACCACCTGGATTCAAATAGACCATCTTGCCATGGGGCTACAGGAGCAAACAAAACCCCAAAGCTGACCTCCAGCAGCCACATGTAAGGCATAGGATGCAAACTTAAAGGCCCATGCAGTGTACTCAGATGTATGCAAAGATGGTATGGCCTATGACTGTGAGCTGACTTTTTCAGTGCTGCAGTAATTTATAGGACAGTCTCTGGCCTGTGTATGATTCAGGAAGGAATTTGGTCAGTACAGTGTCTTAAAAATAAATGTGAGATAATCTCGGCTGTTGGTTGGAGTTTTTTCTTGCCTCAGGTATTTCAGCTTATAAAGTCTAGCATTGTTATTTCAGAGGTACTGATGATCTGGCATTTTGGCCCAGTCAGAATGATTTTTCACTCCTGACCTGACATCTGTAATTTCCAGTTATTTTTCTTTCTAAGTTGATGAGTTATGAGAAGGACCAGAAAGAACCAAACTCTTGATCTCCTCTGGTGTGGTTAGAGGCAGAGTACTAAAACCTCCAAATAATGATCTGCTTGCAAAATCCTATCCTGTTCTGCCTTAACCTTGGAATTCCTCTGAAGTTGAGGATCTTGAAGGAAATTTTGCTCCCATGAACTGCTGTCCCTGTAGCCATCACTGAGCCCATTCCCTCTTGTCCATGGGAACAAAGCATCACCACCATCCTTTAGCAGCAGGTCCCATGCCATGGATGCACAGGCACAGGACTGGAGCAGGAGCCACATCAGGAGGGAAGACTTGCAAATGCCTGTGTTCATTCTGCCAGGAAGTCTCTGAAGATTTCAAGATAATGCAGAGTTATAAACAGCTTTCTCATCCTTGGCTTGGAGCTGGAGCAAGTGTGAAAGCTAGTCTTCCAGGCACCACCCTGCTCCTCTGTCCACAGACAGTTTTGAGCCAAAGGCTCTGAAACCCTTAAAATGGTGTGCAGGTTTTCAGGGAGGGGTGTGTGTGTCTCAGTGCTGTACCTGCACATTCCTCATGGTCTTTTTCTTTTGCTGTCCCTTTGGTTTCTGAGTGCTGTAGTTCGAATTTCCTAATATGGCATTAATGACTTGCAATTTGAGAAGTAAGGCCTGGATTTGGTGTGGAACTTTGTCCCTTAGCAGAAACTAGGACCATATTTCATGTTTCCAGGCTTGATTCTGGTCTCTTCTCCATTTCTCTGCCATACTCAGTTTCTGTACTATGAAGAGGAAACCCAACATCAAGAGCTTCAGTGAGTGATCTTGCTACCGTTTCTCCCCCATTTAGAAAGGTACCTGGTAACTTCATCTGTACATCAGCTGTCAAAAATAGTCAACAATAAGATTTATTTGAGGTTTACTCTACTTTTTTCATGTTGGCCCTGATTGCTAAATAACAGAGCAAGAATGACTACCTCTATATAAAATTAAAAAAGACTGCAAAAGATGAATAGTTCATGTAAATTATTGTAGAATTGTATTGAGCACCTTTGCTTCAAAGTACTGTGCATGGATGCTTGAAATATGACTAATCATTAATTCAGTGAAAGAGAAAGTTGAGGATTTCAGTTTTACTAGTGTATTGTTCTGGAAAAGATGTTCAGAAGATGAAGCTTAACAGTTTGTGAAATCTTTTTTTCTTTTAACTTTTAGAAAGGTTGCCCTTAAACTTTTACTTCTGAGAGAGGCAAAATGGTTTAGATTGAATTAAAATGCACCTGATTTTTCCCTCCAAACATGAAATAAACACAATTTAGCTTTTTCCTTGCTGTTATATTTTCCCCCTCTCATTCTAGTATGCGTATTAGCCTTGGTCTCATGTGAGATATTTCTTCAGTTTGAATAATTTACCTTTATTCAGTATTGCCAAATAGAAGATGTTGAGAATTCAAAAGGCAGTTCTGAGTGACTTTAATAGGCTCTACAATTTGAAATTTTAAGTAAAATGAATAGTAAGTTTGTGTTCCCTGCCAGTTTACTCGTGCTACTTTAGAGTGTGTTTCTTCTGGCATGTGCAGGTTCTACACCTGTACGTTCTTGAAAAAGCTCAAATCCTTGTGCACTCTCTTAACTCCAGTACTGGGGCTTTACCATGGACTTCATTATACCAGAGATTCTCTTTAAGTCGTGAAAGTTTACAATGCTGTCAATAGTTTACAAAATATACTGACTGTCTGGGTCTACATACATGTGAGAAGTGTGTTCTCATTAGAAAACTGCAGTTTGTCTTGTTCTGGAAAATGAAAACAAAAATTACACAAAGAAGGGAGAGAAAGTATTTGTTTTCAAATACGGGGAGACAGAGTGTTGAGGAAGAAACAATTTGTTTAAGTGTTTCTTGGCACAGATCTCTCATGCTTCGATAGTTGATAAAGAGAAGTAATGGGCACATTCTAATCCAGATACTTTTGGCTTTCTTTTGTAAGGCAAAATAATAAGCATGATCCTGTAACTCATTGACTAAAATGAGAGGGTGTCTCCTTTGTTCTGCCCGAACTGTCCTGTGCATTGATGTCTCTGGAGAAGGGAATACTAAAGGGTGGTTGGATCTCATGAGGGAGTTGCAATAAGGATCAGTGACTGGGCCCTGCAGTCAAATTCAGAGAAGAAATCGGACAAGTGTGTTAGAGTCTGTTCGCAATAGTGCAGCTGGACTGAGCCCTGGGACAAAGCAGCACTGGGTTGGAGGCATAGCTGCTCTGTGCACTGGGGCCCAGTCGCGTTTCCATGAGCTGAAGCACAAGTGGTGAGCTCTGCACAAGGCACCCACTTGGCTTGGCACAAAAGCAGTCGGTACAGGTGTGGCTGTGAGCTCACTGTCTGTGGGCTGTGACTGCCCTCAGCCAGAAGCCTTGGGCTGCTCTCAGCTGCTCAGCCTCAACACCCAGGAGTGGGCTGAAAATAGCTGAGATGTGCCCACCAGTTCAGAAAGAAAGGCAAAATTTTTGGAAATCTCATCTAGTGGGGTTATATCTTGCCATTTAAGACATATTATTCTGTGCAGCTAAAATTAGGTTTTTCTTTAGCCCTGTCATGGACTGCATTAATATCACAAGTATGCTGGAGCTGAGCATGAGGGTATCCATCCAGCTGTACTGTAAAGCCATTGCTGCAGTGCTCCTAGAAATGGTAAGTCTCTGGTATTTTGTCAGTCCTTATTAACAAATGCCAGAATGGAAATTGATGATCAGTCTTAATAAAAGAAATGATTGTGCAATTTACATCAAGGCAGTTTTAATAAAATATCTACTCCTTAAATGTGTGTAATTAGACTTACATATTCACATCACTGCAATTAGAAGTTGGTATTTAAAGGGCATGCTTCCCGTTTCATGTGCTTTTAATCACTCTTCTCAAGTTTGCTTTTTCAAATTGCAATGTTAAGGTAAATACAGTCGTTTGTTTTTTCCCCCCTAGGCATGTAATATTTTTTCCTCTGGAATGAAATTTGTATATTTGGTTTGGCTTGTGCTAATCTGCAAAACAGATAAATAAATAAGGAGGTAATCCCATTCATCACTGAAGACTTTCAAACCTATTAAGAAGTGTGGTGGTAAACAATTTTTTTTCCAGTGTTGAAATGTTCTGGTAACAGTAACCCTCTGAATACAGCTTAAGCTTCCTCTCTTCCCAGCCACATGTCTTTGCTCCCTAAACCAAAGACCTTACTACTGTCTCTAGCAGATAAAGAACATGGATTGCAAACTGCCTGATCAGCTTCTGACCCTGCACAGGCTTCCCCAGCCCTTTGGCCAAACTGACAGGAGTGTTTCCATGAAAGGCACTTCCAAAATCAGTGGGGATCTGCAAAGATCCGAGGGAAGCATGCCTGTGGTTCTGCTCACTCCACAGCCCTGCAGTGGAAGGTGCAGTTGCCGTTCCTTTCGACACAGTGAGCTGTGCTGGGAGTGCTGTCATAGCAGCCTTGGACTGGCCTTGGGGCACAAACCATGGCTTGGAAGGTTCCTCTGAGCAGGCAACTGCCTCCAGCTGCATCTCAGCCTTCTGCCAGGAGACTTAACTCCCACTGCCCTTGATGTGTCACACTTTCCTCTGCCTCCCAGAACACTGTTTTTTCCTGAAGGCACCACAGACCGTACACTGTTGTCTTCCTTCAGGAATGGATCTGCAGTGCTGCTGGTGCTGAATGGTAACTGCATGTGGGAGAAGTTTATTTTGCACTTGAAGTAGCCTGTATTCGTAGGTCGTCTTAGGAGGGTTGCTGCTTCAGAACCCGAACTTTTCTGGATTATGTGAAGACTTAACATTATACAGAGACGAAAAAAAAAAAAAAGGTTAGCTAGTGACTAGGATGACATTAATAATTCAGCACATTGAAATGAAAGATGAAAATCAGACAGGCAATAAGTTAATGCTTATGTTCTGCTGACCATACACGTTTCAGTTTGAAATGCTTTCTCATCCACTGGCAAAAATGCTAATGGCTGGAGTAACCCTGTGGTCCAGCTGCCCTTCTTTCACTTTGGCAACCACTAGGGGTTGGTTTATCTGTCTGTTTAAGAGTATGTAGAAAATGGTATTTGTTTTGCATGTGCCAGTAGAAATAAACTGCATTTTCACTTCTAATTTTTCTTTTTCATTCTAGTCCTCCCTTCTGATATCCTGAGTTAACCTCTCATTCCCTGTGTTTAAAAGGATGTTGGCTTTTTTTTTTTGCTATTTCCTTCTCTTTCTTTTTTCCTTTTTCTTTCTTTTCATATCCATTTTTCTTTTTTTCTTCTTCTCTTGGTTTGTCTTTCCTTTTTTCCTATTTTCCCTTTTTTATTTTCTCTTATCTTTTTGCCTGTTTCCATTTTTATTTCTTATTTTTCCCTTTTGTCCTTTCCTCTTTTTTATCTTTTTCCTTTTTTCCTTTTTTTTTTTTTCCTTATCTCTTTATCCTCTCTGGTAAGTGGTGCAAAGTCTTTGGCCAGCTGGGGACCAGGTAGTCTGTTGTAGAGACACTGAAAGGTTCTTCTGCATCCTGGCATGTATCTGGAACCACAGCCTGTGGATGGAGAACAGGAGGCTGAAGTAGCTCCAGGGTTCTGCTGGTGAGCTGGGTCCTGCAAAGGGCTGTAGGTGGGTTACAGGCACCCTACAGACCCTGGCTCAGGGCTCTGCTCTCAGGTCTTGGTGTGGATAATGATTTTTCTTTTACGGTCCTTAGGGCAGGTTGAAGCAATACAGATCCAATTTCTCCCATCCCAGACCTGTAGCAACAGTCATAAATTCTGTGGTTAAAATTATCCAGAAGTCTTGGTTTCATCTCTGTCTGTACATGTAAAGCTAAGCAGAGACAGTGATTCAGATTAAATTCTTTGTTCTGTTGTCACATACTTAGCTAGGGAATCACCTTTTTCTCTTTCGACATCTTGTTTTGCTGCTGTGTAGAGTGAGAAGCAATTTGGTGACTTTGCAGTCACTAAAGAAATGATGACTGCAGGAACGTGAGAGAACAAGTTTAGGAAGAACTAGCACTGCTGGGGGAAACTATGATGGTCCTTAATTGCATTTATCTGTAGTGGCAGATAACAGTCTGTCCTTTAGCATCTTTTATGGTTCCAAGTGCTCCTGCAACCCCAGCCTTACCCCCATGACCATTGTGGAAATGGCCATTTCCCTGTCAGAAAGGAAGGGAGTGCTGCTGATTTGGATATAGAGGGAACTACTCTTATTTATTCCATCCCACATATGCTACTTAAGTGCACCAGAATCTGTGATGTTTTTCCAACATTGCCTTGGCAAAAGGGAAAGGTGAAGACTTGTGGCTTTTGGACATGTGGTTGCAAAGCTCCACAGATCAGAGTGTTTGTCAGGGTAAGGATGGTGGGGAGAAAAAGGGCAGTGTGGTCTGAGCTGCAGCTTACAACACCTTCATAAAATGGTCTTCTCTGGGGGACAGCTTGCCTGTCACTCCTTGGAGAACATGAGAATGAGTTACTTCCTCCCAAACTGAGCATCTGTAGTGTTTCTTCCGTGGCTTTGTCCCTTTTGTCTTATAAGCAGTGAAGAGAAAACAGATTTCATAATTGACTGAGCCCCAGTTTTTGCTTTAGTTTGAGTATAATTTCCCAGCACACACTGATACCGTGTGCTTAGTTTTTCATACATGCTCAGTTCTGAATACAATATTCTGAAGAACTGACTAACATCAAAGATGTTTCCAAAATCAATATTTGTATAACATACCAGTGGAATTCTGTTGAAATGGTGCTGACTCGTATGGCTTTGGATATGCACAGTTTGGAATCACCAAATAGCATGCAAGGTGAAGAATTGCAACTGAAAACTAAACATGCTGTGGAAGGTGTTATATTTAATAGAAATGTGACTGTTTCAACATCACTATTATACTGCAAATGTCTGAAGTAAAATGAAAAAGAGAGTGATCAATAACAAGTTACTTGTAACTCCAGCGTCACATTCCATAGATTACCTTTCTTGAATTGGACAGCATATGAGTCTCATCAGATAAAGCACAATGAATTTGATGTGCCCTAATTCAAATCATAATGAACTTCATTCTACATCACAGTGATATGAAAAGTTTGATACCCTTGGCAGCCTTCTGTTTACAACAGGTTTCCACAGAGGAACAAGCATAGCACAAACACTAACTAGCAGCTGGCTCTTCCACTACCGAGAAATAACTGCACACTTCTGGAGCAGTAAACTAGCAAGGAGTTAACACTGGTGCCTTAACTTGTAACCACTGAGGATGTAGCTATCTAATTTATTCCTGTGGATTTTGGTTACTGCAAAGTATCTTTTACATGTAGTTTTACCTGACTGTTTTTGCTGCTAATGGGGAAGGTCTCTGTTCCCTATTCCTCACCACTGGCTTGGTGTCAGAGTGATCAGGAATTTGGAAGTGGTTATCACCACTTTAGAGGAATGTGAAAATGCAAAGACAGGAGATATCAATCATCGTCACAAGTCAAATTCATTAAAGAGGAAGAACTGTTTTAAATAAAGACTTTTATGCCAAAAGGGCAATAACAGGTAAAAGTGTTCATGTAATTTATTCAGAGAATTTTGTGATAACTGTCAAGATATTCAACAGCTTTCTCTCATTATCATTTGCTTCATGTACCTTGACTTGGCAAAGCCTTTAGGAAGATATTTAATCAGAAGTATGCAAATGGTCCTGTTAACTTCAACAGGAAATCAGCACTTAGAAATAGCAAATCTTAAATATTGTCTTAAATGTTGAGACATATTGGTACTATGATGAGTTATGCAGTCTTCTTTTTTTTTTTTCCCTACAGTGCAGCTAGAGAATTTTTCTGCAAGTTTTCAAATATTCCCTTAGCAAGGCTGTGCAAATCATTCTACAGGAGCTGCTGCTGGGTGACCTGAACAAAAAATGTTTCTGCTTCCATATTAAAACATAAATCCTAGGAAGTTAGCAAAGATTTTTTTGTTCGAATGAAACTTTTCATTCCCCACTAAATGTTTTTTTTTTTTTTTAATGGAATGTACTGAACCTGGTCCCAAAATAACACTTTAAATTAAAAATTGAAGTGCTTCACTTGGAAAATGTCATACTGTATATTTTTTCTGACATACCTATTGCACAATATAAGTTTCAGAGGTTTTGGTTTCTCCAAACTGCCTTCCATAGAGAATGAACTATTTATGAGAAAAAAGAGTTTGGCTTTCCTTGCTTTTCCATTATTTTTTCAATGGAGCTGGTCAAATGTTGCAAATACTTAGCAAATGCCTTTGTTTCCTATCCATCCTGATGGAAAAGGGCTTTTCTTTAAGTAGGAGCATGCAAGGTAGACACCCTAACCCTGGTCATATGTACTGAGAGTAATTTGTGACTTGAACTGTGTTTTAACTTTCCGTAAATTGAAGACTTGGCGAAAGAGACTGAAGGATTTACATTCAAATAGCCTATTTTCTACCTCAGTTTTTGGACATCTGTGACTGACCATAGACCTTCAGAAATGTTTATCAGGAAAAATATTCTACAGTGGATTTTAGGGGAAACTTAGACAACCTGAAGGTGGACTTAAAGTGTCTTTACCTCCGTATTGGAAACAGTTACCTACAACACATGTAGTAAAACAACTTGCCCAAAGTCACACCGTAAGAGAGGTGGAGAAGTGAAGAGCAGAAGCTGTTGTCCATGCTCCTCCCTGTTTACCCTGTGCAGGGCCTTCCCTGGATTTGTTGCAGCTTACTGGGGAAATACAGTCAGTTCTCTGGGTTTGCTTGTGCCTGTTCCTTTGTCTTTAGCAGAGTGCAGCATGTGGGCCTACAGGGCTGCAAGTGCTTCAGTCTGTTCATTTCAGATATCCCAGTGATCACGTTTTTGATTGTGGAACTGTGGCAATGTTCTGAGATCACATGTGTGCCTTGTCTTTCATTATATCTGTTAGGTTCAGGATACCTAGAGACAAATGATATGGAAAAAGGCCTCCATGACAGGTCCCTACTGGCACTGACTGTACAAGCAGGAGGACACCTAGGCAGAAGGTAAGAAAAGCCTCTTTTAATTTTTTGACTTCACTGATGTAAAGCCTAATGAGGTGATTTTAATTTATTTGGCTACCAGCAATGGTATTTAAATGAAGCACGTAATTTGTTAAATACTAACAAATATGCTTGAGGCTGTAAAGTTAATGTAATTTTTTGCTTCACTGGGAGCCTCGGAGGCGTTTGATTTCCCTTTGCCCAAACTTCAACTTCATCTGTAAGCAGACCATACTAGCAGGTTTGATCAAGCATTTCTCTTTGTCATGTTTTAAAATATGGAATTTGAATTTCTTCTTTAGCCCACTGGACCCTTCCGAAGCCCTTGCTGCCTGTCCACCTGCCATTTCCAATGTTGGTCCGTGCAGGAACACCGAGCAAGCCGTGCTGTCTGCTCCGCTCTTGTTCCATTGCCCTTGTTGTCCTTGTGTATAATTCTGCTGCTTCGTTCGTTTCTCACATGGTGTTCAGTTCCTGACAACTCTAAAAACCTCCTCTAATCATTTTGGCAAACAGAAGGCTACAGATTTTAGGGCCTCACCACAGCTTTCATAGCGAGTACTTATATGCATCCTGATCTATAAATTTTCCACCTCCTTTCTCAGCCTTGACCCTGTAATTTGTGGGACAGAGCGGCAGCATGGAGTCCTCTGGAAGCATCACTAGCTAAATGCACACACCATGTCACGCTTACAACCTTGCTCATGGAAGAGCATGGTGTGGGTGAATACATAAAGGGTTCTATGTGGAATTTATTGTTACAGTGTATTTCATAAAGGTTGTGTGGTTATTTTAGGGAGGGGGAGGAAAGGGAGTATTTTTGGTTATTTTCCAGACAGAATGATGAGTGAAGCTCCAGAGAACTATTTTAACCATATGATACACATAAAACTGGACTAGGAAGTACTTTGAATGATAGGTGGTTTTCTTGTTTGGTTTTTTTGTGAAAATTCTTTCATTGTTAAGCCACATAAATATTGGGAACTTTGTAATGACTGTAGTTGCAGAGATTTTGATGGACATTTTAATATCAAAGTAAATTGCTATTAGAAGGAAAACTTAAAATGCTTTCTAGCTATAGAACGCTGATACGAAGAAGGTGCATTTGGGGAGATACTGGGAATGGTCGTTGTACAGCAAGACCAGACTTAAAAGAGGAAAGAAATCTTGATTGTAATAACTCTGTTCAGTAACGGTAAAAAGACAACACTAAAAATTTTCAATTAATATACAGAGTTAATACAATGTTCATGCGGGAACATTTTGCCAGGAAAAAAGGAAATATTCTTTTATTTCAGATAGGGGGAGGAAAAGCACTACTTGACTTGCAAATCTTCTGGAAGAACACTTATGTTCTCCGTCAAATATATGTAAATTAAACCGTATTTTAAATCTTTTCACAGGTCCTGCTGGATGGAACATGTCTCAAGGGCAATCCAAAGAAGGAGAACATTTGATAAGCACACGTATCTCCAGGCAAAGCTCTGTGCATTCCCACGGAGCTGTGATGCCAGTGAGCTCTCTGCCATGCCACACACTTTTTCCTTCTCCTTTGGGCTGTGAATCAAATCCTTTTGAAGTTAGTGGAGCTCTCCCTGCAGACTTCAAAGGGCTGTGGATCAAACGCTGTAGAGGAAGTGCAGTTCAGGAAGTGCTGATCTGAGCTTCACTTCCTTTTGCTTTCCTTTTCCCTTACTTCCCTTAATTTCAGAAAGGAACATACTATATTCCATCTGTTCTCAAACGGTCCTGGGCTGTGAACCACCAGAGCCTGGCACTGTGTCAGAGGGCTGTCAGAACAGGAAGGAGCACAGTTGTTCTGTTCTCCTGGCTCCTTTAGTGTCTGACTCCTTCCACCAGAGCTTCTTTTCCTTTCTCATGATGTGGTGCAATGGAAGAAAGTATCTGGCATCTAGTTTTCAGCTGTGAGATGAACATCAGATGCTTACATGATCTCTCTACCCACACACAATTTGTGTTCGTGTGTGCATATAAATTTATTCTATACCATTGCAGTTATAAATTTGTTCAGAACTTAAAAATTCTGTGGGTGGGTATCTACGTGAGAGAGACAGAAAGAGATGATCATGCTACAGGGATAACACTATTGCTTAGCTCCTTTTGCATCTAATGGAAGTCCAAAAGACTACCTGGAATCAAGTTGCTGGAAATTGGATCAATTTTGGAGGCAAAATAATCCACTTAAAACTGTTCCTTCTGCATGCATGTTATTTTTTTTTTCCAGGCAGGTGTCCAGCTCCATGCCCTTTCCTCTCTCTTCTCTTCTCTTACCTTTCTGAGCACAGGAGGCCCTTAACAGTGCTTGCATTGGGTCAGGGCAGGTTGCAGTAGCAGTGATTTAGGGATTAAATCTGATGAGGGGGAACTTGAAGCAGGGCCAACCTTTTCCAAAGGACAGTGCAGGAAGTTGGATTTGACTTGTCAAACTAAGCAACAGTGGTTTTCTGGAAACAGCATCTTCCTCTCTTTCCAGCAAAACCTCTCTTTTGCCAGGTATCAATGTCTACATCTGAGACCTTCCTGTAGCACAGAAATTCTGCTTCAGGCAGATTTTTACAGAACAAAATTCTGGTAATCCTCTCCTCTGGTAAAGAAAAATACATTTTATAATGAAATGTTTTCTGGACATGGCATCTCCAACACTCTTCCCACCTCTTCTCTTTCCCTTCACAGCAGAAGGATGATTCCTAGGTGACACAACAAGATGTGTTTTTTCAAGCAGTTTTACAGTTAGTAGTTAAATATGTTTGTGAGATAAGAAGTATTGCTGAAAAGATAACTCCCTCCCCTTCCTTAGCCCAGAGAAAGAGCAACAAAAGCCTTATACAATGCAATTAAAGCCTCTCATAGTATACAGCGGCTGTAGTCTGAAGTTTGAAAGAAGATAAGCCAGGGAAATTTCATGTTAATTATGTAAACAACATTGCTTGTGGGTGATCTTCCCTGCCTGCTGCTGCTACTCTGTGCTGCTTCCCAATATTTGAGCCTTGCCCCTGGTCAAGATGAGGGTGCCCAGGCTGATGTGGGACAGGGCTGCTGAGGTGCTGAGCTAACAGCTGGATAAACCTGATGAGCCTAAAATTTATACTGAATTTAGGTATGCAAGAAGACCAGGAGGTGTGTGACCACTGGGGGTTTTATTAACCATGAACTCCCTGAAAGGTTTTATACATTCTGCCGAAGGGGAAAGGAGAGGAAGTGTGAATGTTTAGCTCAACAGCAAAAGAAGCTGAATTGGAAAAAACCAAACCAACTACCTGTTATTTGCTACTACCTAGGTTGGAAGTTTACCCAACAGGTAGCTGATAACTTAGTAACTCCGGGGTGTTACAGGTTTCTGTGATGGCAAACTACTGAGAAAAAATGTGAACTGGCATTTTCCACCCCTGATGTTCTATAGCTCCCTGAAAGAGGAGTTTGCTCATGGATTGCATCTCAAGCTAAAGGCTGGGAAAGTTGGAAAATAGATCATCCACCTATGGAACTTGCTGTTCCTGCCCAGAAATCTGGTGGGGATAAAGTAGGGCTTCTGTACTAGCTTTGTGCCAGAGGAGTTTTACTCTGAGGACATATCTAGCAGGAAAATGACATTTTTGTACACCAAATTCTTTGCACGTAAGCTACATTCACTGTGATTCTTCCCTAATATGTCTGCAGAGTGAGACTCTGGAAACACTAGCAAAAAATAATATTTTTACAACAGAGCCATCTTAATGGAAGAAGAACACTGATCAAAAATCGTAGATGCATTTATTTTTTTATCTGGTATGAGCAGAACAAAAATAATATTTTCAAATGTGTTATATTGAAATCTCATGGGGGAAAACAAAAAAAAGTCAATGATTAATCATGCAATAGCAGGTAAGAAAGCAAGTGTACAGAATCCTTAGGTTTATTTAATTTCATAAACAGGTTTATATTCTTCTGTGGAACTCTAATTCAGAATTTTTTTGAAGCATCCATATCAAAAGACACTGGCCTGGAATAATAATGTGATTGATAAGATGAAAGAAAGCTCTGAAAGAACTCATATTCTTTCTTTTCAAAAAGATAAGTTTAACATTAGTGTTCTCAATAGAATTACAAGCCAGAAACACAGAGCACATGGGTCTGATTCTGCTGTCTGTGTCTGATGTTCCTACTCGTACCTGCTTAGAGCAGGTTCCTGTGAGGAACTCCCTTACCATCACATTTTCCTTCTACACTTAGAGTCTGTCTTAAATTAAAGTGTGAGTAAAGCTTACAAAGCCATGGGCTATGAGGAGAAGCAAATACAGTGAGTTTATTATTTAATGCAAATTAAATATCCTAATTCAGAGTCTTAGTGTTACAGCCACAGTGAGACTGAAGTCTACTCGACTAGAGAGGGAGGGTCCTCAGCCCTCACTTGTTATTTAAAGGCCATCCTCTGCCGTGCTTCCTTAGTGATTTCAGTGCAGCCTCTCCTGTCATTCCCAGAAGAGAGGGGTGATGTAGATGGATCATTCTAGTCCCTGGAGTGCTCAGTCAGACCCTTCAGAAGAAAATCTCTGCGGCATTATGAAAATGATTCCCTTCCCCCATTATGCAGTGACTGAGACAGGTAATGATTCCAGGAGCACGTGTCCCTTAGGATCCCTCTCTCTCCTATTAACATGGTTTAGCTGCAGGTGGCACAGCCACTCCTCTTTGAATACCAGCTCCCAGCAGGCATCTGACATCTTACTGGGATTAAATCCTTTAAAAAGTGTCATTGTTACTAGTTTGGAGGCAGAATTTCACATTTGGACTGTATGCATAACTACATATATTCAATTTGGATTACCTGCTACTGCATCCTTTTAAGCTCTCTCCCAAGAGGTCGTTTAGGACATGGGTGTGATAAAATGATCAAAGAAAAATGCAGCATGCTGAATTTAAACAGAAACTTCTGCAGAAAAGTGTGGAATTTGCCTTATGAGTTACATGCAGAACTGCATGTCATTCAGTAAATAAAATAGTGG